GCTCTTCATTGTTTTTATCCTTGTGAATTTTGTTTTATATAAAATCCACCAAACCACAGTAAAATAATGATTCTTCGAATCGCCATATATCAATCTAATTACAAACTTTAAACATTTCTAATCACGAAGTATGACATCGTACAACAGATTTAGATAGTTAGGCATGCCTACGTTTATATTTACAATATTAAATTGTTAAACCACTTATTCGCCGGTTGATCTACCAACCCGATAATTTGATGATTGGTTCGGATCAATAATTCCTCAACAAATTTTCATGAGTTCCCCTTCAAATATATACTCAACAAATTACTCTCTCATGTTTTCATAAACCTTACACGTGAATGGATATATTCAAGATAAAATTATAATAAATATTTTTTTATAACAATTTAAGCTTTTATATAATTAAGGTGATTCAACAACACCATAACGCATCGATTGATGCTATTCATGTTAAAATAAAATTATATTTCTAAAAACGGGGAAAAAATCTTAGTTAAACCACAACAATTATTACTTGTTTTGGGATATAAACAAGGAATTAAAAAGCTAATCCACGTCAATTATTTCTTTTGTTGGGATATAAACCATTTTTATAGGAGAAACCAAAAGGTGAAGTCGGGTTTTCCTTTCTTGACAATCCTCCTCGTAGATAGTGATTACTTTTTTCATGCAAAGAATTTATGAGGGCTCTTGTGGAATTGTCTTGCCATGCATATGTCATCACATCACCCCTACCATTTACATCTGTACGTTCAACACTCTTAAGAGTACTTTTTTCATGTAAAGAATACATTTTTCATGTAAATAATTTATGAGGGCTCATCAATCTCTAGTGCTTTTGTGGAATTGTCATGCCATGCACGTGCCATCACATCACCCCCTACATTTACATCTGTACGTTCAAAGACTTAGAGAGACAAGAACCACGACTCTTAGATAGATGATGTTGAAATTTAATTCACTATTTTATGATCCAACGCTTTAGAAACATGCCCGTGATTTTATCGGCTTTAATAATGGTGTTAATTTGGAAATAGAAAATTTATCAGTATGGAAATTTTTTATTTTCTATGCTATATGCCTAATATATGAAAAAAAAAATGTTAGTATGAAAGATCTCGATTAGATTAGACCCAATTAAAAATATATATATTTACGTGAAAATTTTATTCGGAATAAAGTAATTTCCATTAGGAGTTAGGAGCTCGAAAAACAATTTTAGGACAATGCACTTGAGGGCTGACAAATAGTGTTCAAACTCACGT